TGAAAGTATATACAACAGAGCCGTAAAAAAACGTCTTCTGTTTTATAAGAAGACAGGAAACTATTTTCTGATAATAAAAGAATGAGGTGATTAATTTATTTTTATGAAAGTGTAGTTAAAAAAAAAGGAAAATTTTGCATCGCCAAAACAAGGGAGGAAAGCAAATCATTGCACCCTCTTGGCCTCGCATTTTCCACTGACATGATGTGCAGTATTTATATTGAAACTATCGCCAGGTATACTGCCAGGAAAGTTGATTCCTTGTATCGTGCTAGATAATTCTTTCTCGTCAGAATCCATCTTGCACATTTATAAATCTATCAATCGTCTTTGAATTGAACATTGCTGCTGCCATATTTAGTCAGATGCTCCGGTTATATATCTCGAAATTTCTGTCAAAATCCAAAGAAGGGTCTGTAATATTATCCATTAATGTTATCAAATTCCCACCGCCTTGGAGAGGCTTCCCTCTTTTTTTTTCTTTTTTTTTCTACACATATTTTCATGGCAGTTGTTCTGATGAGCTTCCCTTCTCGGTGTCTTGAATGCATGAATTCAAGAGTGATTGACACAGTGGAGTAATGGATAGCGGCTCGGATTGAGGAATCGGAGAGCCGAGTTCGAATTCCAATCGGACCCTTTACATTCACTTAGGTGCTAATACCCTTGCGAAAGGTATGAACCCTCTTCTTCTCCGCCCAGCTATGAGTAAATACCAAGACAGCAACTGGTCTAGGAGAAGGAAAAATGCTGAATTCAAATCCGGCCTGGATAGGGCTGGGTCCCGTCTGGCTAACTTGCCCAAGAAGCAGCACTTCTACTAGAGCTGCTGTACACATGTTACCCGTACGACCCTACGGGTAACGGGTTTTTAAAAAAGTACAAAACTAGATTGGCAATTAGGTCTAAGGAAAAATGTAAACCCCAATGTCATGAGTTCCCTTTCTCTTATCCTTATCTCTGATTCTTGTTATAGAATTGAGGCAAATCTCTTGATTCCGTGAAACAGTCTCCCAAGTTTGTTTTTTTTAAATATAGAATCGTTTACACTGCTTATTTATATTCCCACTTTTCACTACATTCTAAAGTGTTTCGAAAATTTGAATGAATCCCTCCATTTTCATTCCACTGGGATAGCTGTGAAAACCAATTAGTAATTGAAGACAAATCTTGATCAACAAGAGAGAAGTCCCGACAAAAAGGACTCGTAATCGAAATGTATTTTTTTTTCTTTTCTCGGAGCCGATTTTTCTTCTGTAATTTCACACCCAGTCGCCATAGCAGTCTTTGTAATTTTCACCATAATCTCAGAAATACTTGCATGCTAATTGTTCAGATGGGTTTTTAGCTATGGTACCTAGATTTTATGAATTTAAGCACAGTTCTAGTTTGGCGGGTGGGGGTAACGGCTCGAATTGAGGAATCGGATGAGCCGAGATCGAATTCCAGTCAAATCCATTACATTCACTTACGTGTTAATGCCCTTGGGAAAGGTATGAATCCTCTACTTCTCCCGTCCCCCAGCTATGGGTAAATAGCAGGACAGATCGGGTTCTATAGCCTTGGATGGCAACTGGTCTAACGCAGAAAGAAATGGCAATCTACTGCGGGAAAAATCTGTCTCGTCAGTCATTTATCGAAAGATAGATGATCGCCTAAGCGTGTATCACGCTTGGCACATAACTGACCGACGTGCTAATACAATTGGGAAAGGTATGAATCCTCTTCTTCTCCCCACACCAGTTATGGGTAAATAGCAGAACAGACAGGGTTCTATAGTCTTGGATGGCAACTGGTCTACCGCAGAAAGAAATGGCAACCTACTGCGGGAAAAATCTGCCTCGTCAGCCATGTATCGAAAGATAAATGATCGCCTAAGCTTGTATCACGCATAACACATAACTGACTGACTAGATTGGCAAAAGATCTCATCCATTTACAGTTGAGTCGGTTAGATGTAACCATAAGTTCTATGGTAACAGTTTTTTTCAAGCACTTCTCGCTTGTGGAACATTTCTCCGGCTCTATGCTTTCCGGCCAACTTTGATTTTCAAAAATGTAAATAGAATGTTTTTCTATTGCTCTTGATCGTTTAATAATGTTTTCTGTTTTCTTAGCCTCTTCTGTCTTAGTGGCTTTACTGCCTTGCATGGAGTGAATTCGATTAAAAACAAATCGTAATGTCGATTGGGACATCAAAAGACTGCAACAATTGACACGATTTGTTCGCTTGAAACAGAACAACGTACCACATGATGAGTCGAAACAGAAAGTTCCAAGTCGGAATCAAGTCCAACAGTAATGTTGCTTTAGTCGATGTTGCGCTATCTTTTTACCTCGGGACGGTAAAAGCATTTCTAAAAGGTAAAATCGCAATGGTTTCACGACATTGATTCGTGATTCTCATCCCTCTATCGCCTTGTGCTTTCACATAGGCACATTCTCTTAGATTAGCTTACAGTGGAAACCCGAGACAATAAATAATGTCTCTAAGTGATTAACTAACAAAAATAATGTAACAGAAACCAGCAATGGTTAAACGCTATCCAACAAAACAAGATTCAAAGTAATCTAAAATAATCTCACACAACACCGCACATTGCTACGCAGCCAAAACATTAACCTAAAAACACGAAGCATATTCTTAGATCGAGACTCATATGGATGACATGTATGGCGCTAAACCCGTTCAGAAATATCTAAACTCACAGCTGTATAGAACCGCATACTAAGAGCAATGATTAAAAATGGTTTTGAGCGAGTGACGTCTGTGGGTCTTACCAACCACATCATTTGAGAAGCAACAGTTAAAATGGATACCACATGTAAATCAAAGAGGCAACAATCAAGAGCCTGACATTCCACACTAGTTTTTTTTTTAATAATTTCACCCCAAGTAAGGCAATAAAGCCACTAGGACGCATGAGGTTACTGAATGTAAGAGAATATGAGAAAACTTATCAGTAAGAAGAAAGCACAATAAAAGCACAAGTATTAAAAGGACACAAGACTTACATTGCATTTACATCTTTGAAGATCAAAGTTTACTTAGAAGCAAGAAGTCCACAAGCGAGAAGTGCCATAGAGGAAACTGTTAACATAGAACTTACGGTTACATCTAGCCATTTCAAGTGTAAAATGAAGAGACCTTGCCGCCAATCTAGTACTGCGCTTAAATTCATAAAGTTACCATAGAGGAAAGTGATATTTATTCTGTTTAATACACAGAAATGTGGCACATGGCCAAAGTGGGGGGGGATTGGGGGAAAGGACGGTCTTCTTTTGTCTTAACTATAACTTAGCTAGCCGCAAACACTGACCCATTCGTAGGAACAATATTCCTTACACCAAAACAACACATTCATACGTACCTTTCTTACTACAATCACCATAATACCTCATTGTCTCTATGAAAATAATAACTAGTCCCCATATTTACAATTCATTGTCTGTGGGGGTAGGGAAATAAAACAACAAGAGGAAAGTTCATCAGAAGAATTACCATGAAAGTATTTATAGAAAAGCCGCAGGGAAACTACATGGTGGTGGGAAAGTGACTGAAGCCGAGATGTCAGGTCAAGATCAATATCATTGCAGATTCCTATTCGGATTTTATCAAGAATCTCTAAATGTATAACGGGAGCACGAGGCCAGATGATGTTTTAATAGATTTATCGTTTCTTTTCTTTTTAAATTACGACTATAAATGTTTAATCGAAGTTATTTCCTCCGCTAAAACCAAACGAATGAAAACCTAGTAAATATTATCATATTATTCGCCAACACAGCCGCTGATTAATAATTTACAAAGAACCAACTTCTGTTGTCACCGTTTTCTTCAAACCCGTGGTCTTCAAGTCAAGCAAAGTTCAAAATGCATTGCGAAGAAAAGGAATTGAAAGTTGAATGACATATTCGTGGCGTCTAGCTTTTAAATTACTGGTAAGGCGAGAAACGAATTTGGTATCTTTGTAACACATCGTCAGACGACTTATCAATATTGAATTCGGTAAATAATAACACTAATCGATTAGTCTGGATGCTTTTAAGAGCGACTCGCTCCTTGGAGGATATTAATTCAAATCACACATTATATCTGACGTATGAGGGTCGGCTGAAAAGTTCATAAGCTGACCAAGATACACTCATAGAATGTGACCAAATGAGGTTTATTTTTCAGCACAGTCTTCCTTGCCGTCTACGCACACCTCCCATCGGTGTTGCAGTACTTGGACCCCATTGGTGAAGAAGTTTTCACCCAACCCCATTGGTGAAGAAGTTTTGCATCTGTCTATATTTCTGAGATGAAGTATCATGTACACTATTTACATTTCTCAGACTATCATCCTCATCTTTGTGGCCATATTTATTACAACGTTTCGGCCGTTGTACGCTCCGGCCTTCTTCAGGTGGTTGGAATGTCGAACTGAACCCTTTATTTCGCTCGCTAGGGTAGACTGTTCTAGTTCCACGTGCTATGTCTAATGGATGTCAGTTATCAGTTATCTCCTGTTAATTTTCCTTGCTATTATAAACCGAATGTCTTCAGCAACCTTTTTTTACCAGTGCTCATATTGCAATTTATTTACACTTTTATAATTGTAGTAGTCACTAGTTGGTGCTACCTCTATTTGGCATATGTGTATAAGTATACGGAATGTATAGGTTCACTACGTAAAGTAGTGGCAGTGATAATGTACTGGTGTCGCTGTTTGCAGACAGCGCAGCTGGGAAAAAATATTGAGAGGTACCCGATCATAGGGGAACAGCCGCCCGCGACGGTACTGACTCGTCGCACTAAAAAGGGGTTCGGGAGTAATACCGATGCCAGCGCAACCAACAATTGTCGAGGTTGGACAGTTTTAGGCCGTGTCCCGCTTTTACGTGTTTGGGTGCCCATATTTAACCGACCTTGTGTCACATCACGTCACCGCGTGAGGGGGTGTGAGTAAACACCACGGTATTATCACTGATATCATCTCTCGTGTCTCTGGTTTCAGGCAGAGCACAACTCAATCATATCTCTATCTACGTACAGAGCGCAGCTTTGGAAAGATATTGAGATATACCGTGTCCCGGGCAACAGCTACTCGTGACAGTACCGTCCACATTACACTAAAGACGTTTGCGTGAACTGGGCATTAATTGGTCCTGGCCCAGGTGCACGCGATCGGGCTTTCCTATATTAAACAGACTTTGTGCTACATACAATCACCTTGTCGGGTGAGACAGTAAATATATGGTACTTCGACTGTTTGTATTGTTAGCATCTCTCAGTTATGTGTCTGACTTCGGGTAGGGTGCAACTCTGCTAGGAAAAAAACTATTGAAAGGTACCCTGTCTCGGGGAATATATGCTCGTGGCAGTACCCCTCATTGCAGCAAAGAATAATACCAATACCAGTGTAACCAACGGTTTCGGGGGCTGGGCAATTTAACCACGTTAAACCGACCTTGTTTCACATATCGTCACCCGGGGGTTTGGGGTGAGTAAATACCATGGTGCATGTAGCGTTGTCAGTTGTCCGAGCAATGTCTTGTGTCACTGGCAGGTGGAGGAGTTCGTTCCTCGGCCGATAATATTACTCATACCCTAATGGGGCTATCTCCCAAAGCAGTACTTCTCCTTCGGCAGGGGGCTGGGTTTATTTTTAGGCGTCCCCAAAATGGGAAACTGCCGAGAAGGCTGGAGAATTTTTCCACGGTATTGCTGATATACCCACATTAAACTTGGCCTTGTGTCACATTTCGTTGCGTCATGGGCGCATGTCTACATACCATAGTACTTAGATTGTAGAAACAATAGTGATTGCATACAATTGCAATCCCCACGTGGAATTTCTTAATAGTAAATAAAGAAAAAACAAATTTATAAAAAAAAAATACAATTTTATTAAATAATGGGGGTGGGGGGTGACTGAATATCGCTCAGTGGAGTTGTGCGAGTCAGTCAATGTCGGACATTAAAGTATGAGCCCCATAACTAGATTTGCTGCGTCATTAACTATTTATTTCAAGTTTCTAACGTTTTGTACGTCGAACCTATTTTAGGACCGACTTAGTGAAGTACAAGCCTCCACTGTGAAAAACTACTCTACAACAGAAAGTTATTTCATCATTTTAAAATCTCATTATGAAAACGACCCTTCCACCAATAGCGATGGCAATCAGCCTGTCAGTAGAGACACTAGAGTAGCAAGAGTAGCAGCATTTTATGACCCCCCCCCCGACTTCCGGAAAGGAGAGAATTTTTCTCTTTATCCTCTCTCCTTCAAGATGTGAAACATCTAGTAATTACGTTCCACTTGGATGATGTTAGTTTCTCCGGTCCACTGTCGACGCAACTTTTCCCACTTTCCAACGACGTGTTTTAGCAGCCCTACTCATGAAGTGCTATCACAGCCACCGACGGCTCCCAAGAGGTACCATCTACGCAATTTCACTCACAAGGCTTGAATCAACCCGTGGTATGATTTTCAGGCACTTTCCAAAGGTGACGCACGCTGGGATCGGCCGATAACATGAAGTCACCTTCTTGACAAATCGACAATAGTGAGATTAGAACCCGGGTCTCATGGTAAGAAAGCGAGAATTGGTCGTGCTAGCACGAATTCTCAAGTCATCGTGACCGAGGGTTTGAGCGTGCAAGCATTGTTCAGACTACTAATCACGCTAGATAACGCTCTCTCTCCCAGAAACTATAACTAAAGTCCGCTCAGCAGAGCTGCAGTATAAACCACAGATGGACTCTGAAGGTGTTGAATAAACACAAATGTGCCTAAGCAGTTGTCTGCAGTGGGGATTTGATTGCCGCCCTAGTAGACTGGTCTCCTCGGATAAGAATGTCTGCGCCATTTACATTACATATTCATGAAGTAGATATTCGGTTATCCCAACTCAGCGCGAGACTGACTTGAGCTCGACCATCTTTACCCGTTCTTATCATTACTTCCTATAAATTATTTCTGAACCAAAAACGGACATACTCAAGAGACCTTTAAATTTTGTTTCAATACAGACAAAAGAAATAAGCGTCCGTAACAGAAACACAAATTTTCCTGTATGTTCCTTCTACCTTCTCTGTTTATATTAGTGAACACACACGTTCACCTGAAAATAAACACAAACTTACAACTTTGCTTCTTTCGCTAATCCAATGTGTCTTCGGATCTCGGTGTCACATTTTCCATCATCTGTTAAAATGTTCCCCAGATATTTGAACTGTAATTGTTTCATATAAATGTTTGTAACTCACATCTTGGACTTTTTCTCTTGATTATGACCATAATTTCTGTCTTCTTTGATTAGTTCTTTTTTATCGCTTTCTTCTACCCCCCCTGCCTCGGGGGTCTTTTAATTCTGAAGTCATCGTGACCGAGTGTTTGTGCGTGCTAGTATTGTTCAGACTGCTAATCACGCCAGATAACGTGTTCTCTCCCAGGAACTGTAACTAAATTCCGCTCAGCATAGTTGCAGTATAAACCACAGACGGGTACTGCGGATGTTGAACAAACACAAATGTGCCTGAGCAGTCGTCTGCAGTGGGGATTTGATTGCCACCCTAGTAGACTGGTATCCTCGGATAAGAGTGGCTTTCTTCTATCACCCTGCCTCGGGGTTCTTTTAATCTTCTTCTTTTTTGTGCCTTTTCCCATCAGGACGTAAGCGATCATGGCTCTCCACTTTCCCTCTATCCCTTGTAGCTCTCATTATCTTTTGTCCTTTTGCCACTTCTTCTAAATCCATCCCCTTGCTTAAGCCCGCCAGATATGTCACGCGTTGCTTTCCTTTGTTTCTCTTTCCTTCTATCCGCCCTGTGAGTATCAGATTCTCCATACCGTCCTTGGAGAATCTACAACTTTTATAAAGGACAAATTGTTGTCCAAATGTATTTTACAGTGACCGGATCCCATTAACAGTTCGTCTTCGCAAAGGAACGAGAAATAAAATTTATTGCAAGAAAGCCAATAGGAAAATTTAAGAAAAGAAAAAAAAAACGCAAACCTCTATCTGTCTGTCTTATTCAAAGGCAATTTGTTTAAGAGAAAAACCGCTGCCTGCCTATACCTATATAAATATAACTATATAGATATATACATACATATGTATGAGCGTGAATGCGAGGGAGTAAGTATATAGATTAGTTTATAGATATAATTGTTTGCATTTGTGTCCATGAATGAATTCTCCTTTTTTCTGTCTGTTTCTATTCTTTCTTTCTTTTTTTTTTAATAGAATTTAACCAGAAAACAAGCTTCTAAAACTGTTATCTATTTTTTTTTTGTTCTTCTTTTCTATCGTTTACATAAATCGGCCATATTAATCTCCTCCTCCTCCTGGCCCTCCTCTTCCTCCTCCTGGCCCTCCTCCTCTCCCCCTCTGTTTCTTTCAATATAGCGATTCTGACAATTTTTTTTGTTGCTTTTTATTCCTTCTCCCCGTTTTTAATGACGTCAGCATCTGTTTAAGATTAACACTCTAAAAGAGGAATTCGCAACATCTGGTGTTTGTTCCGCCATGTTTTTCTTTTCTTGTTTTTACGAAAAAATGACAGAGTATTTCTCTTCTGCTGCAACAGTAACAAAAAAAAATATATTTTTGTTGCGTAAATAACTGTTAAATTAAGAAAACGATGTTGTCGATGGCAGATTTCTTTCTGTCATGATTTATTCCCGAAGTCTCTTTGCAAATGTGATGCATACAACCTAAACCACAATTTCAGTAGAAAGTTAACTTTTCCACTCGGCTGGGTTACGAGCCTAATGTCACAGATAAACTGTTTAGATCATTTAAGTTGCGTCTCTGTCTTTAGGCAGAGTGCGCTCAGGGGCGACTCCGTCAAAGGACAGAGTCGCAACTGAGGAAAATTATACTGAGACGTGCCCAGCCCTGGGGAACAGCTGCCCAAGGCCACGCCTTCTCATTGCACTAGAGAAAAGGATCGGCGCACGCACCGAGGCCAGCGCAACCGACGGTTGCGGGGGCTGTGGGGAATTTTTGTTCCTTGCCCGGGTGTAAGTGCTCGGGCTCCTCACATTAAACCGACCTTGTGTCGCAGCCTGTCCTCGTGGGGGATCGAGTAAAGAAAAAAAAACTGTTTGGATCATTTCTGTTAATTCAACCCAAAATAAAAAGAAATTATATTTACTAAAATTCGAACCAAATTCGTCCAGAGCGAGGCCCTTCCATTGCACACCGATTGGCTTGACCTTGGCTATCGCCCCAAATGTGGGCGACATGTATTCGCTACTTCTGAATGTGGGGTCTGCGTTCGCGCTCTCACCTATAAACCAACCAAAAACAGATCCTTTTCTATTTTTTAAATTGTAAAAAAAAATTCCTTGTAAGTACCTCGATTATCGTCAGAACTTACGAAATGTGAATAATCCCTGATTTTTTTTTTCTTTTTCATTTTTTCATTCTGAGAGTTGGAGTTGCTGCGAGGCAAGTTAAACAAATTTTGATTTAAAATTTATAATTTCTTCGGGTAAATTAATATTTGCGGTAAGTAACTTTCCATTATTTGGGGTGAATTAACAAAAAAAAAAATCCAACTGCTTTACAAGTCATAACAGCCATTGTATTTGTCTGTAGTTGCAAGGCGTAGTTTCATGCCTTTTCCCAAGGGCATTACTGCGAAATGAACACAAAGAAAGATATTTGTTTTGTTAAAAATACATTTAGATTTTTAAATCTATTTATGCTTTACGTTAGGCGTTGGTCCCAAACATCATACCACCATGTGTTATTATAAAAAAAATTAAAATTATTTAGAGAGGATATATGATAACTAATTATCTCTTAGATTAACTTGGCATTTATCTGATAACTCTATCAAAACTCACATCGCCTATTAAAAGAGCAAAAATAAGAAATCTGACACTTATAGATCATAAAAAATAATATATAATATAAATTGTGAAAAAAAAAATGATTACAAATATTATAAGCCGTAACCATAAAAGTAAACAACTTTGCTTTAAAATTTTCATCAGGTTTCGCCCAATCAATTCTTCATTATAGAATTTTTGAAGGTATTAAAATAAGTGATAATTCAAAGATGGGAGGTCATATGAGTACAGTGGGTGTATTAGATCATCCCGGTCAAACTGTGCCAATTCATATCTAGTCTG